GTCCTTTTTATCACATTGCGGATCCTCGGTTTATTATGTACATCGCCCAACTGGGCATGTAACAGTGTGTGTGACCCGCAAGGGCACTTGTTCGTTCGTTGGGCCCTCAGGGGCGGTACTTACCTGTGGCCGTGACATTGAGGATTGCAGCGGTGGAAAACACTCAAGTAGCAGGTAGGCCGGTACCGCACTCTGAAGAGGTAGATGTGCGGGTGCTGGAGGCCGAGCAGAAGAAGACAAAAGTGGCATTTTGAGAGGCCCAGTAGATGTGGGCTAGGTCTAGGCAGGTACCAGTCCAACCAGTCTGAGTCTAGGGCCTGTACGGGCGATATCAGAGTCTGCAATGATGTTTCCCTCCGAAAGGGAGGAGGTTCCGGTTGCTGGGAAGGCCGAACAGCCTGGAAGTCACTGCCCAAGAGGCAAGCAGGCTGCTATATCTCCAGGCCGGGCGAAGAGCCCAGCCTCATTGTCGGTGTGCAAGTTTGGCGGCACACCGGTCGGAGCACTGGCTGGAGCAGCGCTAGCAAGAAGCAGTGCTGCTGGGGAAGGAGCAAGGACACGGAGGAGGAATAGGAGCAGGAGTAAGGGGGAGCGACAGAGGTACTTACCTGGCTATGGTGGCAGCCATCTTTATCACCTTGGTGGGCGCTGCAGCAGGAAGACCCCAGTTGGGGTAGAGCTACACCAAGAAGCTTCGAGGCAGAGTCAGGCATGGCAGCCTGAGCTAGAGCAGCCATAGCTGCTTTGGGTTGTCCTTTGGGCATCAGTGCAAGGCCCAGTAGTCCGCGATAGCCTCGGCCTATGAGAGTGAAGAGTGAGGGAGGCGGCCATGGCTAGAGTAAAGGAGGAGGAGAGTGTTTGGCAAAGAAGAAGAGCTTTATCATTTGTTTATGCTGGTGTACATCATCTTCTACGATTCTTCTTCTTCTTTCTTTCTTTCTTTCTTCTTCTTCTTCTTCTTACCCTCTCTCTCCTCTCAAGTTCATTCATTTCTTTCTGCAATTGAACGACATCATACTATCTGATGAATGTGTATCTCGAAATTAGCCAGGATCATAACATCTGCAATCAGACTCGTTCTCAAACACACTTTTCATGCATGTAAACAGCAACGCAGCATACTGGCGACATGCGCCCACTCAAAATTCAGATATATGGCTTTCAGATACGAGTTCACTCTCAATTGGCTATGGGCGACTTCAGCGCCCAAACATCTCACTGTTCACATACACTGGATCACCCTGGATATCCCACACGCATCACTCTAACACTCGAACACACACACACACTCACTACTAACTACAGCTATGGCAGCTGTCGCTGCATCTACCCTATCGCTATGCTAACTCCCTCTCTCTAGCCCACTGCGTCCTCCGGGCTCATCTGCAGACCTCCTTGCACAAGTCGCTGT